CTAGTGAGCAGTTTAGCTGAGGCCTCAGACATCCTTGAGCATGTGGGGTTAATTGGAAATTTGAGGCTGATGTACTACTCTCTGAACTTTTTAATTAGTGTCGAAAGGTACTCCTTACTCCACACTTCTTTTCTTGCTTTGAACAGAAAACTGTCATTATGATCTTGTGTGGTTTTTTGTTGGCTTCTTGTCGTCTTGGATGTTTCTTCCCCCCTAGCACCTACTTCACAGGAGATATTTGCTCTAACTAGCGCACAGATGGTCAACATCTGTCGGAACTAACCTCTCTTGTGTGTGCACATCCGCTGCTCCCTCAGCAAGCTGCCCAGTAGGCCGTCTGGTGCCACTGTATTTGTATGCGTGTTTATCTCCAAACCACCCCCTCTTCCACCTGGTCAATGGCATCAGGAAAAAGTTGTTTCCCTAGCTGCTCCTTCAAAGCCAGGCGGATTTCCTGAGGACTCTGGAGGAACCAAGTCACACTGAGATCAGAGCCCCCCCACCCCCATCTCCCCATGCATACAATAGCATAACTTAGCTATGCTTGTGTTTACCATCAGAAATCCGTTTGTTAATGCAGTTTAAGAGAAAGTGTGCAAGAAAATGTGCTACACGTCATTATGAATATGCCTCGGAGGATAATCATTGTTTTTCAAAGGGCCGTCATCCCCAAGTAGTTGGGCGGGCTTATACCCAGCCCATACATTACAGCTTTATTAGCATCTACAAATCATTGCTTTTAAGTGCGCTGACTCTGCCCTCAAGGTACTCCACCCTTTTAAAATTCAGGTCACGTAATGCAGACCCATCATCTTCCCCTGTGCCCCAGTTACCATGAGTTGGGTGAGCGAAAAGAACTGACTGGACTATTTCCTACTGCTTACCTCATGCCAGTGTGGCTTTTGTGCTCGCCGCTGCCACGTGCAAGACCAAATTACAGCTTGCAGGCAGATGTGAACGGGGAGATGCCAAAGCAAGTCCAAGGGCCCTATCCCTACCTAACCCCCGTGCGCCCAGCCATACACCGATGAGTGGGACTTCAAAATCCTTCTTTCTGGATATTCAGAGATTAAGGGGAACCGTGGTGTTCATTCGCCTTCTTTAAACTTTGTTCCTGACAGGCTTCTCTCAGGTGGCCAATAATACAGACCTATGTAATATTTGCCATTGTAAAAATCCAACACAGGTTAGTTTTACCATTTTAAAAAAAGAATCTACCCCAAAAAAAAAAAATCTGTGATATTTTGGTTCTAATGCTTTGTGTTATTTTACGATAAAGATCTCTCTGTCTGTTTAATTTTGGGTGTGGCTTGTGTCTGTTGACCTCCATTCACATTGTGATTAGTGGTAACTATTCATATTCATGAGAGCTGCTTAGAGCATGGGTTCCAAGCTAGGAACCTCCCACTTCCATTTGACACCCCCGGCCCCCTCACGCCGCACCCCCTCCCCTACCAACCCCGGCCGGACCCCGGGCCTCCCCTAGAGACGACGTAATTGCATGATGGCCCGCTCATTGTCAGGATCAGGTCAGGCAACTGGAGTGTTTTCACAAAAGCAGACATCTGCCGCGCTGGCCTTTTCAGCGCTGACGTAATGTCCCGGCGGCCCGGCGTACAGGAGAGGGCAGGGGCTCGGCGGGGATCAGAGATTGTGGGGGATGGGGGATCAAGTGAGGCGCTTATCCTCTCATAAACGGAAAATAAGACATTTTGCTCCCCATGATAACCACAAAAAAAAAAAAAAGGTCAAAAGGATCTGGGATGAAGTGGCGCGGGTCCAAACTTTTAATATTGTGTTCAGTGTGTGTCCTGCATTTCTGAGACTCGATTAATGCACGGGGCCTGTTTGGAATTAAAACCTTCTTGGCATTGATACATCTTCAAAATATATATTTATATTTTGTATTTCTATCCCTGTAGTATCTCATTATTTATTTAATTGTTTGTCTGGTCATCAATAAGAGTGAAACCAACTGACATGGTGAATTATAGATGCAGAACCAAATATTTTTCTCCTGCTTTCTATACATTTGAACTTGTAATTGCAAATGAGACAACCCAATAATCTCACTCTACATACCGAAACCTTCACTGTTAAATCTTTTATCTCAATCGGCGTGTCTTATTCCAAAGTCGGCTTTCTCCCAGACAGGGCGGAGAGGCTGAGCCGATTTGTGTGATTAGGCAAAGCCTCTTTCTTCATGTTCAAGTTAGATTTGTGTGATATCTCATTTGATTTGCAAATAATATATAAAAAAAAAAAAAACATAAATACTCAACGTAAAAAAAGACTGAAAGAGCGGGAAATGCTGCATGGGAGCATCCCATCACATCGGGGATTGGTTGCAGGCCCGTCTGGAGGGTTGATGAGGTAGTAGACTTGGTGGCGACTGAGTGGACCCTGATCCAAGATGACATGTGATGATGCAGAACCCCTAAGCTCCATCAGCCAGCCTGAGGATAAACTTTTTTTTTCGCGGTCTGGAGTGCATCTAGCGGTTCTTCTCCGGGCCCCCCCTCTCTGTCGCGGCTTCCCCCGGTAGCAATCAGGGATCAGCATTTGTTCATTACATGATTAAATGCTTTCAGGTTCAGGTCTCGGCAGCAATGAGGCTACTGATATATCTGGTGGCGGCGTGCCACATGTTAGATTTCAACCCGAGTTTTCTTTTTCCACATCGCAGCGTGTTCAAAACAATAAAAACAAAAACTTGGAGCTGGTCCTGAAGAAAAGCACAACCCCTCACACACTCCGCAGACTAATGCAGACTGAAAATCTCCCTTAAAAAATCACTCAAACTTTTTCCAACAAGTTTGAGAGCCTGCTGTTTGGTGCCGTGCTGCATTTTTTTTTCCACTATAGTCGAACCTGACATGAGTTTTGTCTTCCACACGCAGGTCAAATACTGTATCTGTAGTCACACCCAGCACTAATGGGGAGTGCTGCTTAAAAAAAATAAAAAATAAAAAAAAAGATCCCTGTCGGCATCTGTGGGTGTCGAACATTGCTTCCTGCACTCGTGTCGACAACACTTTGAGGATATAAATGTTTAATTAATTATATTACTGAGACCTGGGAGATTTGAATGCTCGTGCCCCTCCAGGCAAACAAAAAAACCAAATTAGACACCAGGGAGAGACCATTTTGAAGCATTCCACCAAAACTACCTTTGGCTATATTTAGCTTATAGTGGATGTGAAGTGTGAGAAACTCTCGGCTTAATATTTAAAAAGCAGCCTTTTGATGGTTTTGAAGTCACCAGGATGGTTTTACAGTGTTGGTACTGGTAGTTTTTGCAGCTATGGATCTGCTTGGCATGCACTGTCATGCAAAGGAGCGTTTCAAAGGGGGAGATGCATATTCTCTTTGTTTTGTTTGTCTGTTTAATCCTATAGTTCATATTGTCTATGGTTCATAATTGCTTACAAGAGCAGATGAGCTCAGATACTCTCCTTATGCGTGCAGACCTCATAGGGATGTCTTATAATATGCATTTCTTAAAGTCTACTGTATATTGACTTATCGAAGATGTAATCTATGTGTGATAAAGCAAAACCAAGGCTGCTTTCTGAGCCATTCCCAAAAAGTCTTTCTCATCAGCTTTTCTTAAATGACCACATTTAAAGAAGGTGGAGGTATGAAATAAATTATGGATACTTTTACTCTTAAAGGAAACTGGCACATTGAATGAAATGTACTGTAGCTCGGGGAATGAAATGGTGGTTATGGCGAGGGGCTTTTTACAACCAGCTGCACTTACAAATTTATCTATCACCTTTTGGTGCTTTTTGTGGATTACAGCTTGAAGCTATATGTAGTTTTAATCACTGTTCATAAATTCTGGTTACCAGTTAGAAAATATATGGAGGCTCTGCGGCGCCCCGGTTAGAAATCAAAACACTGGAAAAATGTGTGTAAAGTGTCATCCAACACTCAAATGTGGAATCTGTCTAATCCAAATGAAAGATTTATGTTCCCGTTTTCTTTTTTCATTAATATTTGTTATACCACCCAACAGGCTAAGAATGTTTGACAGAATGAGAGTGATCATTATAGAGGGAATGCTATTCTACCAATTTAATATTCAACATATTTCTGGTTGTTGCATGATATGCCAAATGGAGACTCAAAGGCTTTAAAAGCATTTCTCGTTTGTTTGTTTGTTTCTTTTCTTTGTGCTCCTAATTTATAGACGCAACATGATTAAAATTACAGACCAATACGGAGTAGAAAATAAAGACTTGTCATTGTGAGGCGGGCCCCACGCCGTCCACACCCAGTTCTCAAATCATCATAAGGGACTCTCTGCATAAAGAGAACAAATGAAATATTGTTCTGCTATTGAGTGGGCGTGTTGCTGCAATAATGAGTCCCTTTTTTCCTATTGAATAAGTGCTCTGGAATGCATGACAATAGGTTTAGTTTTGTAAGAGGCAGTCTCCTTAAATCCTTCACAGATCCACCTGAGGCTGTTTACACTGTCATTGATTAGTTTTTGCACTGGTGCATTTAAAGTGGGAACAAACACCAAAGTACGTTGATGTTTGTTTGCACAGGGACAACATATGGGGTGTGAATCTGGGCCACATGCTTCAGCTTTGGAGGCCCCTGCCTTCTTGCGCTGCTCGTCCCTAAATGAGTTTTGTTTGACTAGCAGAATTAGGTGATTGGTTACATTTCAGAAAGCCTGCAGGAAATGGTCAGGTACTGAAGCCAAATCCCAAATATGAAGCAGCCAGTGTTGCTAAATAAAGCTTGCAAGTCGCTCCAGGCTTGTGGAAGTCTTACAGATTCGACCCAATTTCCAATGAAGCCGCATGGCTTTCATTAGGAGAGACGGCAGTTGGCTCGGTGGAGAAGCGTACCGTTCCTGTGAATTTGGTTTACAGTTTACCTGAAACTTTCCTTAAAAATGTGGTAGAAAATGTGTAATGTTATCTGTGTAATTAAAGCTGTCGGGTTGCTTTAACGGGTCTCTGACATTTTCTGCCTTGCAGCTACGCTTTGGCAGATGAGGCCTACCGCTCACTGAGGGACCAAGACAAGGACCAGTGCATCCTTATCACGGGAGAAAGTGGAGCCGGGAAAACCGGTGAGGGCTGCTCTTCTTTCATCACTTTGACACCTGTCAAGGCTTTTTCCTTTTTTTTTTAAACAGTCAAATAGATTTTTGGGATGAATTTAGCCTTATCAGATTTCCCCATTTTCTCAACCTCGATGCTCAATTTGAATTGCACAGTGATGTTGCGGGGAAGAGAAAAGTCAATTCTGCTACTGGAAAACAGCTGAAAGGGGACCATAAAGATCAACTGTCCGTGGACGGTAGACAAAATAAATTGGCTTACTGGGACATTAGGGACTGCACCTACACAAGCAAAAGTAGGAGAAGCCAACCTCTGGAAAGCTGTTTCTGAAGTGTGGTGTCTAAACACACAAGCTGGATCCAGTAACCTGGAAATTACGGAGCAAAAAAGTCTTCCCTGAGGGACTCAAAGCTGATACCTGGGCTCTACTTGAGACATTTATCCCTAATGTTGCTGGTGTCTGTAACACATCCTGTTTTTTCCCCCCCCACATTTATGCCTCGGAACAGATGTAATTTAAGGGTTTCATAGCTGCCGTTTATCAGACCCCGGAGGGTAAAATATGTACCTCGTTCCTGTTTGTAGTCCTTTGTTCAAAGTGTAGACACAACCTGTTCTGAAAGACCACTGAAAGGCACAGGTTGCTGCGTATAAAGGCGCATTACAGATTCAGATCAGCTCGAGCACAACAAGCTCGAGGCTAGTTTTTTTTTTGTTTTGAGATAGTCGTGTTTGTACATGAAACACGATAACAGCTCTGACCTGTATCTGATGTGGTGGTAGACCTAAAAAAGCTGAGCAGCAGCATACAGTTCACATGGTGGAGCGCTCCATTCGTACATTCAAACGATAAATCAAACGAATTAAATGGATCTCTTCTGGTGAAAGCTGCTTTTTTTTTTTTCTGGGTGCGTGTGTGTGGACTTTTGTGGCGGCTTAGGCGTGTTTTGAAGCACATACCTTAAGAGATGGCTCAAGCAAGTGGTATTTCCTGATCTATGTCTGCTGCTGATCCAGAGGTTGGGGGCAATATTGAGTTGGCAGCATGCACACAGTGGGAATGCACTTTGAATCCACTCAGAAGATATCTACCTCTGTAGGTATGTGTTACAGTCATACTGTTGGAATAAGACAGAAATTTCCTCCTTTGATCCCACACTGAATGCTCCCGCCGTAGAACACCTGGTGAAATATAATCTACGGTTGGGGAATGTTCAATCGGCTGTTTATTTTGTGGAGAGGGAATAAAAAATTCAAGCGGCTGTTTTGTGAGCTATGTATGTGGGCCTTGCAAAACATCTTCAAAAAGTTTATATTCAGTGAAGGAATGGAACCGTGAGTAAAAAAGATAAAATATATATCAGTGGTTTGTTTAGCCTCCTATGGCTTTTAATTTTTTTTACTGGTAGACTTTACAAAGGGGAAATCAACATTCCTTATCAATCTTGTCTCTAAACTCCCATTTAGAAAATGACAGTTCAGTTTGCTGCCATGACCTCGACATACCATTTCAAACTGACTGGTAAATAAGCCATGAGTGTGGATTTAATTGGTTGTATCTCCGTCCTGAGGAGATCTTTGGGATGATTCACTGACAGGCTGAGAAATCACTAAAGCCTCTTTTGATGGATGGACAAAATTCCTCTGTCCACCTCTGTGTGAGCATCTCATTAGCCCATTAAAACTTTCTTGTTTCCTCCTCTTTAGGTGCCACTGACAGTTCTTGTTTGGTCTCTACATATAAAACCTGTTCCCATTTGGTGGTTTCAAACATTAACAAGTTTTTCTACCCATTTGTTTGACTATGTTCTGGCAGGCTGCTTTGTATTTTGTTTTATTGTCCTTTCCATTGTTTCCGCTGACATTTTTTCCTGTATGGAGCGTTGTTTTCTGCCACTCAGTCATGAATTACAGCTTGTTAACTTCCACAGCTTCTCTCTTAACCATAAGCTGATTTGCATATTCAGAATTGTTCTGAGTGACCATCCTCCGAGTGCAGTCGCTCCGTGCTGTTTTTCCCCACGTCGCAGCTTTCCGTCTCGGAGTGAAATGCAACTTTTTTTTTTTCTTTTTTTCCTTTTTCAAAAGTACATTATCTTCTCTGTAGCAGCACTGCTGGTGTTATTGGTGGGGTTTCAAACTTTAGAGTCGGCAAAATCCAATCCGCCATGCCAGATTTGCATATGTTTGGCTCAAGTATGAGAAACATTCCGAGTTTGTCGGTTTGGCTCCAATTAAAATTTGGCATGTAGTTTTCAGAAAAGCTTCAGTAGCTGGACAAAGCAAATGCATCAACAATAACTGCGTCTCAGCATGAAGATCTATGATGTCTACATTGAGGATTTTCATTTCAGTATTTGTTTTTGTTATGAGATTATGAAGGATAATTAATGGCCGCATTGCTGGACGTGCCAAATGTTTTGTATGGGCCGATGAATAGGAACCAGGAATCATTTATACGCTGAATACCAAATATGTCTTTGTTTTGTGAAGCAGTTAGCATTTTGAACTTTTGATCTCTGACCGAAGCTCAGATTTCACAACACGACTGCCCCTTAAACTCTTGGCCAGTAAACCACGAGAGCCATAAAGCATTTGTTGAATATGAACCACTTTTCACGCTGCATTAAATCCATTGGAATTTGTGATGCGACAATAGAAAACGACCAAAACAAATCAATAGAGGGCACCGCTTTGTTTTCCAACCTCTCGGACATTAAAAATCGTCCAACTCCAAGAAGCAGTTGATGCCTGGTCTAAGAGATGAATTTGGATTTCAATGATCTCATCCATCCTAGAGCTTTTGAAGGGGAAAAAGGTCTCAAAAAGCTACCCCAGAGATATGAAATGAGATGGGAGGTCATTGACGTTCCGGCTCGTGTCGGATTTCTCGCATCTGACATTGCCTGTGATTTCTTAAAAAGCGAAGCACGATGAGGAGCATCAGATCATTTGAGATGCTTTGTTCAGTTTTCATCGCTTTTCTTACACATGGAAGGAGAAAAAAGCAAAGTAAACTCTGCTCTTTGTTACTCAGCAACGCATCAGCGCTTCCCGAGCTGCTTGTGTCCCAAACTCATCAGCAGCAAAACTTCTGCAAAGCTCCTTTTACTTTTATTTTATTTTTCTTTCCCACAAGGCACATCGGTTTTGGGTCACTGTCATTTCATCAATAACAAGAGATGATGATCCTGATTCCAGCACTTATCCCACCAGGCCGGTCACTCAGCCCAAACAGGACAACTTGCTTTTTTGGCTCCTGTTTGCCTGACTTACGACTACCCTCTTACAACATTAATAATTTGATTTGGCTCCAACATGAGCTTTGGACGAACAGCGTTCATGTCCAGATTAAGATTTTTCCTTTTGCTTTTCTTTTCTTTTTTTTTTTCCCACAGAAATCAAAAGCTTAGATGATGACATGCTGATGAAATACTGGTCAACATTTAACTTTACAAAGTTGGCCTCTAATGCTAGGCCTCCCCCCCCCCCTCTTTGCCTGATGGGTGTCGAGGGGGATGATATAATGGGAATCTTTCAGGAGAATGGTGCAATGGATGGGTGTGTTTCACTTCTTCTGTCATCTGAAGCAAAAGCTTTGAGCTAATGCGTATAATATCTGTGTGTGTGTGTGTGTGTCTTCCAGAGGCCAGTAAGCTGGTGATGTCGTATGTGGCAGCGGTGTGTGGGAAGGGCCAGGAGGTGAATAAGGTCAAGGAACAGCTGCTACAGTCCAATCCAGTGCTGGAGGGTGAGTGAAACGCACAGGAGCCGCGTCCCATTTCGGAAGCAGGATTGTCTGAAGATCAAATCGACTGAAGTGTGTGCTCTAAGTGAAAATGCAACTGAGAAAAGCTTTTAAATCTGTGGAGGGGGATCTACATGGAGATCTGTGCAAAAGTCACAAGCACAGATATCCCTTAGGTCTTTTAAAAATGGTCCCAAACAATAGTTCTTTGGGTTTATTAAGGTCTTTAAAAGTTTGAGGTGGCTGTTTTTTCTCCATTTTTTTTTTTGTCCAATCTTTCATGTTGGTTCCACGTGAAGCTGACTTGTCTACATACCTATATTCACCTCTTCCACTTCTCTTTGTCTTAGTATTAAAAAAGGGAGGGGTGACTCTATACTCACAAAGTTGTCAGTGTTTGCATTTTGGCTCACGTGTTGCTGGTAAACAGTCTAATGGTGATTTTTTTATATTTGGGGTTGATATCTATCTAAAATCATGCAAATCTCATGACATGACGTGTTTATTTCCTGAGCTATTTTGTACAGTACACGCTCTGTCATTCTTTTAGCTCAGCGCTAATACAGAAATTACTTTTTTTTTTTTCTTCTTCTCTTGTTCGGGGGCAGCGGGCAGGAAATGCCCATGAATGATGAAGCTGTAAGATTACTCGCTGCGAAAAACCTTGCACATCTGTAAGAATTTAGCCCCTGCCTATCTAATTGCCCAAGAACTACAAAAAAAAAAAAAAAACGGGCAGGGGAGGGAGAATCTATTTTTCTGCGGAACACAATGAATCTGTCATGTCTGTTCCCTGTGACACTCTGTGCTTCTCTTTTATTGGCCTCATTCATTGTCGCCCTCTGCCTTTTTTTCACTTCGTTCTCTGACATCTCTTTGGCCCTCTACACCATCTCTTCCCTTCTGCTTAACTCGCCGTCTGGCTGCAGTTGTATCTGAACAGCAGCCTGCTTAGTAACACTCTCCATATACTTAAACTCACGTTAATCAGCTGTTATCAGCAGTTAAGCAGTTATGCTAATAGCGCTGCGATATGTGTCCCTATTAATAACCTTAGAACGCTGAAATGTGGCTCGGAGCAAAGGGGGGGGGGGGGGAAGAAAAACCGTTGCAGAAAATCCTCCTCTGAAAGGCTTTCTGAGGCATGAATTACAATGTGTTAAACATGCTCCAGAAAAGCAAAGCTGTGCTTCCCGTTTTTTGTTTATTTATAAGCAGGGCGCATATTGAAGCACTTTGACTCAAATGTGGCGTGCCATCCAGGTTCAGTCCTTCCCTAAGCCCCGAAAAGCTCTGGCGCTTTGCTTAATCCACGCAGAATTACGGGGCTTCATCAGTACAAATGGCTTTGACATTTGGGGCTTTTATGATTGACAGCCGGCCTCAATGTCAGGGGTCGCCGCTACATTCCCCGAGTATTTGCAAACAGCCTCGTTTGTCCCGTTACTGTTGACCAACCTGATTATCATGAATCTTACTTAAGTATACTTTTCGGCCACCTTTTATCTCCATATTTGTAATGCGTTTTTTTTTTTTCTTTTAGCTTTCGGAAACGCCAAGACGGTACGAAACGACAACTCCTCAAGATTTGTAAGTATCTACAACTTAGGATTTTGTTTTTCTGACGTGGCAGTTTACTTCTCTGATCAGATTTAGGTGCTGGCCGCGTCCAAAATCCTCAGACTTTTTGTTTGTCTCCCGAAATGAGCTTGTCTTGCACATTTCTGTCTCTTTGTGAACTCAGTTTTCCACTTAGCGACTGCACCACGGCTCAAGCAGTACTCTGGCTCTTGATGAATTGCTCTTTATGGGACGGGTGACAATATATTTTCATAGCTTCTGCTGTCGTCTCTGCGGGATCGGGGCTCGTGACGACGTGTCATCACTTTTTAAATCACAGCATGATAAAATCCCGGCTGTTTCAGCTGAGTGAGAGCATAATTTGCTTGGGCTCGATGGTTAAGGCAGTGGTCAGGTGTTTTATACTGTAGGTAGCCGCTTTGTTCGCAATCTGTTACGTACAGATACTTGCCCTTTGAGAGGATGCTCGTTTGAAGAGGGCACTGGGGATGAAAGTAAAAACCGGTATTTACAAAGGCTCGTCATTGTGCGCGTTTTCGTTCCTTTTGTGTGTTTGTATACCTTTTATTCCTCCATGTAACTGGGAGACATTTATTGGTTCTTCACAAAATATCAGCCCACACAAAGGTTCTGTTGCCGCTCTTGATTTATTGACCTCACACATTTTCACTCCCGGAGTTAGGAGCTCTTTTAAAGTCAGGATAAAGGTGCAGGAACAGGCCTTTTGTCGGCCTTTGCTGTTCACCAGTTTACAAAAAAAGGGAGATCAGGAGATCGTATTTTCAGGATGGTTCCATTTGTGCTTGCGTTTACAAGCAGTGACATTATGAAAAGAAAATGGGAGTGTTTTTTGCTTTTTGTTTCCCCTGGAGGGCATTCTCAACCTCCCATCTCGCAACCTTGCGTGCTCACATTAGGTCACACACTGCATACAAACAAACTTCATACAAATTTTTGCTGACATGAATGACGTTTTAGTATCGTAAAGTAGTTTTATTTTTCTGCGACTAGACAGAAGTTGTTTTGTATTGTTTTAATCTCTTTCATCTGCATGACTTATGATAAGAACTGGTTATTCCAGCAAGCACCAGCTTGCAGACAGTCATTCTGGGAACTTCTCCTGGCCTGGTTTTTCCCCGATAAACGATATTCTGCCATCTACCTACATTGACGGATCAAACGCATGCCAGTGCGTGAATTTGCAGTTGTCATAAAGAGCATTATAAAGGATTATAAACCTTGATCTGGTTATATTTAGATGACCTTGGCATCAGCCGTTAGGTAGAAACCATAGGCCTCATCGCCAAATAGCACTTCATCAGAACTCCATCATTTTTGTCAGAAAGCCATAGATGAAGCCCTCACTTCATTCTGCTGAGTGCAGAGGGCTTATTAGGTTTGGCCGGATTCTGCTCACCAGCAGTGCTTGGCCTGATCTGAGGAATCAGGCCACTATCAATACATCAGAGGGGAGACTAAGAAGAAAAAAAGTCACGTAAAAACTATGCTCCAACTTCCTGCCTTCTCAGAGAAGACTAAATCTGTTTGCGTTAGTCCCGCGAAAAGAACTGAGCAGTTGCTGTAACTCGATAGGTTTGTGCAGAAAATCCTCGCTCCGAGCTGAACTCCTGAACTGTTTGTTTTTAAGCCTCCTTTTGGAAGACAGCGGCTGACTGAAAGGTAGCATTGATACGAGTTCACGTTTAACGTTTGCGCTCTGGCTCTCTCCAGGGAAAATACATGGACATCGAGTTCGACTTCAAAGGAGATCCACTGGGAGGGGTGATCAGCAACTGTAAGTAGCTTTGAAACAAAAAGGCTGCCTAGATCAGGAGATATGAGATGTTTTGATTAATAGGATGAAATTGTGGCACTTTCAGTTTTTCTTAATCTTTGCTTTGTTTTTAGATGTACTTTTCTCTCATACTTCATACTTTTTTTTTTTTTACCGTTTGTCCAAAAACAGATTTAACTCAATTATGAAGTATCCCCAGATGTTGAGAGTCTGCTGTTTTAAAAAAGCTCACACCCACCCAGACACTGTTCAGAAATGGAACATTATTGGTGAAAAATTTCCAGATTGTATTCCTCTTTTTTTTTAAATGCATATATTTAACATCTTTTCATGCAAATGTGATGGGAGATATCTCATTAGGCTGTCCTTAATGTGCTACTAAGGTGTTTTTTTTTAATGCATTCATGCACTACACATAAGCATCTCAAAAGGCTTTAGAATCTGAACAGGACATCTCATGAAAAGCCCTTTTGTGCGCGATTGAAATCAGACAGAATTCCTATTTTCAGCTTTTTCACGCCACTTTTTTTGCCCCTTCTGTTTTGGTTTGAGCTCGCCTCTGTCTGTGACCTCTGGCGAGGAAGCCAGCACAGACAAAATATTGTGAACAATGACGAAAGCTTATGGCCGAGGCACAAGTTGAACCTCTGCGTGCATGTCTGAGTCAGTCCAACACAAGAGGCTGCCTGTGACGGAGAGCGCCAGACATGCGACTCTTTCAGTCACTCGGCTGGCCTCGACAGATGGGTCTAGATGCTGTTGCAGGGCGAGAATGGACCGATTCCTTTTTCTCCCGATTTCATTCTTCTCTCAATGTTTTAATGTGTTTTAATCATAATGGTAGAGCACTTTTGGTGTGCCTTTTTGTTACAAAATATCATGCAAATGCCTGAAAAGTGTTGGTCTGGTTGAAATCTGTTGACTTTTAAAGCTAAAAAAAGATGATTTACTTCCTTGACCGTTCACAGCTCATGTGTTTAGAAGGAGAATAATGTACTTATCATGTTGTGCTTTCTGCCAGAATGGTGTCAAACGCTCCTACAGGATGTTAAGGGAAAAAGAGAGATGGCCTGAAGTATTAGAAGTGGCTTTCCAGGGCTCTTTTATCCTACTCCTTGACTCTTTGATCAAAGTTCCACATTTCTGCTACCGTCCCCCTCCGTCATGGATGCTGTATTATTGATGGGCTAGCTCCTAAGTGCCACTTAGGTGATTCATGGCCAGTGGGTGTCACAGAATCACAATTAGCTGGAGCCACAGTGAATCTGTGGGCACACTGCAAATGATCACTTCTGTCCTCTTTGTGCCCACCGAGCAGTGACTCAGTTTAGTCTAAATATTAAGGCGGAGGTCGGAGAGCATGTTGTTTATGTTGCTGGAGGTTTGATCACGGTTACTATGGTGGTTCATGCGGGCGTTCTCCGAAGCCCAAGCGGAGTAGTTCGAACCGTTAAGTTTCCTAAAATATAACGATTTGTCATATTCAGACAGTTCTGCTGCCAGGAGCACTCCGGGCAGCCTCTGATGTCTTTAAGGTCCGCAGCTGGTCTTTGATTAATCACATTCTGTCTGATGTGACAAACAGATGAGGTCCATTTATAACCAGGCACTGTGGAACATGGGTCGGTTATCCAGGAAAAACTAAACAAAAAGAATAAATTAAAAAGGCGATTGACGTTGTTGTCTCTTTCTTGAACACCTACTGTTCTGTTTGATCTGACGCACAGTAGCCATCACAGCCTTTTATGAATAAATTAGACTATAATTAGACAGGTTTTTCAAATCAAATACAGACTGCATTTCAAACTCTGCAGGTAGCCACATGTTTGGAGCACAGACACCCCCCGACAGACTGCGCAGGAACCCTGCCTGGGATGGCTTTTGTGTTCACGTGTGACCGTCTCCTTTAACTTTGTTTCAGATCTTCTGGAGAAGTCGCGTGTGGTGAAACAGCCGAGAGGAGAGAGAAACTTCCACGTCTTTTATCAGCTCCTGTCCGGAGCCTCAGACGACACACTCAGTAAGTTCTGGAACTTGAGCGTTCAACATTAATTTGTATGAAGATTTAAGGGCCCTGGGAGAGAAAGGAAGTTTAAAGCACTTAAGAGTTTGACAGCTGAAATTTACCCTCAGGAGCTCAAACCACAAAGTTTGATTGTGATGTATTGGACTGTACATGTTAAGGATGATCTCAAGCATCAGATTAGAGAATCTGATCATAAGTCATAATGCTTTATATGGCTAAACATTTAGTTTAATCTGGACTAACCATTTTTCTGTCACTTGTGTTAAAACTCTTATGTAAAAGCATCTTGCCGCCGAGCTACAGCTGCAGAAACACATGGCTTACGCATTAATGACTCCATCTTCCTGCCTGACGAGCGCTACAGAGAACAAAGCCTGGCAACGAAACCCCGTTCCCATCCATTTACTTTTCTGTGGACATAAGCCATTGTTTTATGTCCTGAACATGGACGAACAATATAATGGTCATCGACCCCTTGAGCACACACTTCACAGGGGTTGGGTTTAGCTGCAGTTAATGCAGCCACTAATGAAATCTGACACATGTGCTCACAAGAGGAATAGATTTCTTTGTTGGTTCATAAAGGGGGTTTAGAGTCTGCAATTTGAGCCTCAAGAACAATGTGCCCCGCGGAAATTTGGATTTCAGCGTACAGTGTGGGAAGTTATTGCTGTGGGTTTTTTTTTTTTCTTCCCAGTTATAAACCAACAAGTGCATTTATTTATTTATTTGTGAACCAATTCAATACGGTGCCGTTTCCCAGTATTGGGTGTGCTGCAGTTGTGTAACTAAGGTGGAATAAATGGCATCTGCACCGTTTGTGCGTTACAGAGAAGCTCAAGCTTGACCGCGACTTCAGCAAATACAACTATCTGAGTCTGGACTCGGCCGCAGTCAGTGGGCTGGACGATGCAGCCAACTTCAGGACGGTCCGAGTGAGTAGCACAAACCTGTTTTTTTTATTTTCGCTTAAATGACGTACACTTCGTAAGAATGAAAACTAAAAAAAGATAAAGAAAAGAACACATTGCACTATAACACTACGATAACACATAGCACCACGCTCTAGTGGTTTTCCAGAGCTGACTTTTCTTTAGCTGGGTCACGCTCAGTTGATATGAATTAAAAAGGGAGGGCAAGCCAGGTTCTTTTTATTCTCTTTGTATCTTTAACAGTGAAAATGTCATGCCACACAACTGTGGAAACTCCGTAACCAACCTCGTGTCCCACCTATCGCAAAAGCAGTTGAACTTTGAACCAAACCTCTTCCTGATAGCGAGCTAGAATATGAACATTGAGGTTTGTACTGATTAAACACAGACATTTCCATGGGGATTTGCATTTAACAACATGTCGGCTGTGGTTCAACAGCAGCTGTCTGGGGAAAACTGAAGCAAAAAGGGCAGCTGCTTCCTTTTTTATTTCAGCAGGTTTGTGCACATATTTGATATCCTGTGTGTCTCTGTACAGCACCACTTCTTGTGGTGGTCACTGAAGGGGGGCGGGGGGGGGACACACACGGTATATTGTTTCGCTCTCCTGCTGTTCATGCTCCTCTCCGACAATATGAGCATTTTCAGTCTGTTCAGTCACAGTCTTACTGCGCTCATTTCCCTTCTTACATCCTGCCTCTCATCAGCTCCCACAGCATTCCCCGCACAGCTGCACCACGCCACCGGAAACTCGAGGGGACTGTCCTTCTAAACAATTAGTCCCACCACTTTAAATTCTCTGCAGCAGAGCTAGCGGCCCACATGGCTTTCCCTCAAACATGTAATAAGAACAAAAAACTGATGTTCTGCTATCAACTTTTTTTTTTTTTTTTTTTTTTTTGTCAAATCAAAAAATAAAACAAACGAAAAATATTCTGGTTTGAATGTGAGATGCTGAGTGGTCCCATGGACTCTTTGCCCACCATGACCGATACAAATGTCAAACTTCTGTCTTTAACCACAGGAAAATGTTCCACTTCAGTTTTATTTGAAGTACATTTTGGCTCAAAGACAACTGTTCTGTTCTTTGGATGAGTTTTACATGTGTCTGTAACCTGCATTTGTGGTTGCCTTGGTGGTTTGTGTTCACATTCGATGATTTCTGGACTGGAGTCTGAGCTTATGCAGTGATTTACCACTAACGAAAACATACTGCCTCGCTGTTCGAGAGCTCAAAGATCATAAGCATCCAATATTGATATTCAATGTCCCTTGTCCCACAGAGAGCCCTATAGATGCTCAGAATCTCTTGATCATGTTATTCACTGTGGAAGCCGAAATATTTTAAGTCTGTCCATCTGTTCATCTTTGCTTCGGGGACACCGTCTCTGTAAGATGATCTTTTTAGGCCAAGATGTGTTACAGACCTATTGCCAAATAACCTATTTAGTTTTTAAATGTGACCTCCATTTTTTTCACACACTACTAATTCAAGATGTCATACTTTTAAAATACCTATTCTTGCTGTGAATAAACTCTTGATTTGAGTTTGCCTAAAAATAACTGGGGTCAGATAAGGTATAAATGCCAGAAACTGCTTACTATGTGAACAAATTCAGGTACGGGTCACACTATGAGCTAATGTGAAAATGTGTGTGCTTAATAGCGGCGCTGGGGCTGAATGCAAAGCCTTGCCTGTCTAATTTATGACACAGCGCTGACAGGCTGTTCTGTAACCACAGTGTTTGCAGTCGCATGCTGTCAAATTGACCACATTTCTTCACCCGTCTGCGCGTCGGTGATTTAACTTTTGTCGTCCTCGTCCTCCTGGCAGAACGCCATGCAGATCGTGGGCTTCATGGAGGACGAGATGCAGTCGGTGCTGGAGCTGGTGGCCGCCGTGCTGAAGCTGGGCAACATTGAGTTCAAGCCCGAGTCGCGCTGCAACGGCATCGACGAGAGCCGCATCAAAGACAAAAATGGTGGGTTTGATCCCTGCGACTATGATTCCAGTCGTGCTAAACAGAGCCGTCTGCTTATTTCTAACTTATGACCCCCAGCTGGCCTCAGAGCGACTGCCCCCTGTTGGCTGGTTTCTCCCTCCGGGATCCTCCAAACCCAATGTGTACTTTATCAGTTGTGCTAAAAGAGCTGCTCGCTATCAGTCTCTCTGTTGTTGTCTTTAGGCAAATGTTGATTTACATATTCCTCTCCATGACAACTGCATGATGTGTCACAAACCACTTTGTTAAGCCTTTTGAAAATGAGATGCAAAAGAACAGACTCTGGACGCGGGGCCCCTTCTTTTTCATTCTTACATAAGCGAAGTGATATTTCTGCAAGCCTTTCCTGTGTCTGCCTTCAGATTTGAAGGAGATGTGCGAGCTGCTGGGGATCGAACAGTCGGTGCTGGAGAGAGCCTTCAGCTACCGAACAGTCGAGGCCAAGATGGAGAAAGTCTCCACCACCCTGAATGTGGCACAGGTCAGACAACTTTGGGTTAAACTGGTTTGAACCACTTATCCCCTATGAAATATCTCAGGCACTCGTCACAGCGCATAAAAAGATGAAGGAAGGGACTTTTTTTTTCTTTTTTTTTCTCTCTCTCCCCCCTCGTCCTTGATTCGCTCTACTGGCTGCTGACTCTGATCCATGTCAATGCTACATGAAAACCCCTACATTATAAATGAGCAATATTCCTCCAGGAAATTCAAATCTAGGTCATATTTGAGGGTTAGCAAGTTCATTCAGGCTGGTCATATAACGCGGACAGTGCAGAAATGTACCTCCCAAAAGCGAGTTTAACCTGGCCGTTGGCTTCTCATGAGCAAGTCGTTTTAGTTTTTTTTTTACATATATGATAATTGAATTGAATGATGCATTTTCTGTCCATTGTTTCAAAGTCTCATCATCACTGTGTGTTTGCAGGCCTACAACGCCCGCGATGCCCTGGCCAAAAATCTCTATAGCCGTCTGTTCAGCTGGTTAGTTACCAGGATTAATGAGAGCATAAAAGTAAGTAAAGTAAACAAGATGTTTCACTCGGATTAATGTGGCCCGCTCAGGGCGTTTTATGACAGCAGTAGGCTACACTGTCACACTCTCGTCGTCATGCTGGCTGTACTGTCTCCCTGCAGGCTCAAGCTAAAACCCGCCACAAAGTCATGGGTGTGCTGGACATCTATGGTTTTGAGATATTTGAGGTAAGAGGCACGGCGGCTCTTTACAGAAAAAACTTTTCAGACCTCCCCGAACACAGAAAAAAGAATTTTGCCCCGGGGCTGTTTGCTTCCATGATTTGCTGCCTGGTTGGAACTTATCGGCAATCACTCTGAGCTGATGAAACCACACTGACATCACATTAGTTCAGCTTCATCAGCCCGAGGGCAGAAGATTCTTATATATTTTTATTTTTTCTGTAAATTTCATAAAATGGTCAAAACATAAACACACAGGTCGGTGCACGTGAAGGACGCACCTTGATGTTGTTTGCACATTTTCACACGTACATGAGTAAAACGGCATGTTTCATATATGTGAGGTGCATGTAAACACAGGAGCGCACAGTAAAACTATAACTCGTCTCAGCGCTTATTGCTTGATGCCTCCAGTCCCCCCCCAACCCCCACCCCCATATGTTGATGTCTTTTACATATCCCTGCTTGTTCATCCCACTCACACTCAAGTCCTTCCTCTCCTCTCGCTGTTGTGTCTGGGTCACCAGGAAGGAGTAAGTAACGCCTACACCGGCTCGTTTTGCTGTGCCAGCTAGCATGTCGTAATCCTTAATGCTTAATTAAGGTTCCTGATGTTCAGATGCTAAAGAGGCCTTTGCATCATTTGGATCTTGTAGTCGGTTGCCATTTTACTCCGTGCACCTTGCTATAAGGATACAGAGTAGTAGCTCTGTTGGTTTTAGTTTACTGTTGTTGAACTGAGGTGCACTGACGCTTTTTCTGATATTTCTATCATATTAACATGGTTTATTTGAAACTAAGTCTAAGAGTTCTAAGAGTAATTTCTTTTGCCACATATTTAAAGCAAGGTGCACTTACTAAAATGGCATCTTATTTTGGTTTGTCGTGGAATATTACAAAAGATTATTGTTAATGAATGAATAATTCATTGCTGTTGACATACATACATACAGAACATACACGCATATACACATTGATTACATTGTATACATATTCTCTCCAAGAGTTGGAACAATAGGTTGAAAATGTCATATTTTTTTTCTTATGATGCAACTATACACATTTTTTTGTATACAAGATTAGACATGCTATCAAATCCTGGATTTGTTTTCTCTTATTTGGATATATGGTCAAATTTAAACAAAATAAGTTTAGTAATTGGTCTGACTTTCTGCACACAGGGATTTAGCAGAAGTTAACAAATATCTCACAATGATTGACAAAACTAAATAGAAACAAACCAGTGAACATATCAGAGCATTGCACCCTTTTTAGCCATTGCAAGAAACTCTTGTTTTGGCCCACTGTAAATTTAATTTGCAAAACATAATGCTTATTGCAAGGACTTTTCTTCCTACCGTGGGGAAAAGTGAACAATCACTTCTGTGAAATGAGGTCATTAGGTTCAAAAGCATTTTGAAGATTACCTCCTCGAGCTGTAATCAAATGCTTGTCATCAAACATCAAAATTTCAGTTACAAAACATGTAAAGGTTATTTTTCCCCCCTCTTTTTATGGAATAGGTGCTTCTTGACACATTTCAGTAGGCTGCCACTTGGGGAAAAAAAAAAAGTATTCCGTCTTGCATTTGTGTGTATGTGTGTGTGTTTTAGGGGTGAATTGAATCTTTTGGTTTCTTAGCAGAAGGAAATGGAGTTTTTGTATTAAAGATTAATCTCCTTATAGGCTTGTGTTCCATTTCCTGATCACTAAAAAACTTTGTGTCCTTCACTCTGAGACTAAACCTGCTTCAAATCTCTAACTGCGCTTGTATCCTCAGCAACTGAACGTTAACATTAACCCGGCTTAAACCTCAGCCAAGAGGTTTGACCACACCCATTGGTCATAATTGACCATAACAAAACAGAATGATACTAAAATGGGAATTAATATGTAATCTGTAGTTAAGGAAGTCACCTTACAGGAACTTGCTGTGAAAACGGGTTTACGGTCACTGCGGTCTTAGCATGACCAACCAGATGGATCAAATGTTTACTCAGTGATGGTTGCCAGAGGGATGAGGCAGCAAATCCTACCTTCTGCAGCCTTTTGCTTGTTCAAACTGATCATCGTGTCAGATGTCCGGCCATATAACATTTAGAGCTGGCCATGGTGTCTTATCCTGTTTAAAAAAAAAAGAAGGAAGGGACATTAGGCCACGCCAGTATAACTGTTGAGTTTTCATTTTCTGAAATTTTGTAGTTGTTCAGAGGCATACAAAGTACCTCTGCATCATGATGTGAAATAATTGCCTGGTAGGCACAAATCCACTATGGATATATTTGACCTGAAAGAAGATGTCAAGATGGTCTTTGCCTTTGTTTCCCATATTTTTAAAGATTTTTTTAAGTACCGTGCTAAGAAATCCTGAAAATAATTCTTAAAATTCTGGACAAATTCTACCAAACCCTTCGGGCAGGACAAGCTACATTCCACCTTTTGTATTATTGTGTTAATAGCTCTGGCTAATGCTGGCTCCCTTCTCTAACAGGACAACAGCTTTGAGCAGTTCATTATCAACTACTGCAACGAAAAACTGCAGCAGATCTTCATCGAGCTGACCCTGCGTGAGGAGCAGGAGGAGTATGTCAGAGAGGTAAGCGTACACAGTGGGCAAACTCCGGATATTAGCAGTTCAGATTCCAGTCAATCATCAGTTCAAGTTGTTTTTTTTATTTTGTTTTTCTTTCTATGGGCACAGCATATTTTTCTTTGTAATTCCTATGTGGAACAGAGTTTTAACTCCCAACCCTAGTCGTGCATTAACACGCTCATTTGAGTTTTAGGGTAATTTATCAGTCCCTGGTGCTCATATTACTCTTTTACTTAACCAATTTATCATGTTGACCATTCTACGTGGCAGTCCCCCCCCCCCCAAGCATTGTTCAAACCTGGTCACGTCACTCATCAGTTTAACCCCTGCCGTTGTTTCACATAAATTCTACATTCTTCTTCTTCAAGCAACCGCCTTTTCTGTTTTATTTCTATTTTCTGTCCCATTTTTTTGGCCCTCCCCAACTTCTCCCGTCTGTTGACTCTCTGGGACGGAAATGATCCCTCACTTCACCGAGTGTAAATACTCCCTGTTGTGGGCCTTTAAGCTCTGTTTGTTTTCAAAGCTATGTGTATGAGTGCAGCGGAGATGACCCCCACACCCCCCCTTTCCTACTAACGCCAACTACCAATGATATCCCTCCCCTGGCTTCAGTCCACCATACTGCATGGGAAAATACCACAGCTGAAGAAAAGGGGGCAGGAGGGGGGGGGGGGGGGGGGGAATCAGGAATGTGGCCAATCACCCATCAGTTTAACTCACACCTTTTTGTGCATCCCCTCCCTTAAAAAAGATTTGCCTACATAAATGCCATTTCCCAAACCTATTTATTTTTAGTTTTGAATCGGTTGGCCTCTGAAAAAAAAAAAAAAAAAAGGATCATTCTTTTCTTTTTCCATTATCCTTTTTTAAAGGACAAGATTTAAAGCATCTATTGTAACTCTTCTGGCACTTTGATCTTTGTCCATACACAGAGATTTGGAGGCACAGACTCGTAGAACATAAGCAGCACCAACAAATACACCTTTTGGATTTAAACCTGTTTGTTAAAGGCATCAAAGTTCACTTCTGGAGGTTTTCCACTGTTAGCTACTAAGCTCAACTCTACTAGGTTCTTTGCATTGTGATTAGAGGGTGGTACCTCTTACCGATTACAATTTTAGCACCTATTGTGCTGGAGCTGTAAGCAGGCTCAGTCGGGCCATCACATGACCAGAAGTCCTTCAGAAGAACCCGGCCTGTTTTTAAAAATGTGTTAACAGACGTCAATTTTCAAGTTTTCTGTGACCATCACTTGTAATTCTCTAACACAATTTTTCTAAAATCATGGTCAGATTGTGGCTAATATTGGAGATGTACAGTTACAGTTCTTTTCTGGGTTTATTTTTTTATTAAGCGTGCAAAAAAGAATCTTTCCCTGTAAAAGAGCTATTCAAGCTTTTGTCGCTTTCATTGTAGGGCATCGAGTGGACCAACATTGAGTATTTCAATAATGCCGTCATCTGCGACCTCATCGAGAATGTAAGTCGGCTCTCCATTCTCTGGAATCTTCAGACAAAGCTTTGAATGATAAGAGTTTTATTGATATGAAAGGCAGAAAAATAGCCACGAATCGTCTTAACTTAGACTCCCGCAACCTCTAATGCGTTCCAGAATCAAAACGGCATCATGGCCATGTTGGACGAGGAGTGCCTGAGGCCGGGGACAGTCACCGATGAGACTTTCTTGGACAAACTGAACACCATCTGTGCCGAACATCAGCACTTTGAGAGCCGCCTGAGCAAAAATTCCAAATTCCTCAATGACCACAGTCTGCCACACAACTGCTTCCGCATCCAGCACTACGCCGGCAAGGTACAGGGCCCCCCTCGGCCACTTCTTTAAATGAATGAAATGGGAGGGCGAACATCTTACCGTCTTCTGTCTCTTTAACGTTGTTTTTCTAGGTGCTGTACCGCGTTGAAGGCTTTGTTGACAAGAACAATGATCTCCTGTACCGGGACCTGTCACAGGCCATGTACAAGGCCAACCACAGCCTCATCAAACAGTTGTTCCCTGAAGGCAATCCGGCCAAAGTCAACCTAAAGAGGCCGCCGACAGCTGGATTCCAGTTCAAAGCATCTGTGGGCACGCTGATGGGTAACCTGCAGACCAAAAACCCAAACTACATCCGGTAAATTAGCCCCCTCCCCGCTTGTTTTGTATAAAACTGAAATCTGTCGGGTCTAAACCCTAACTCTTATGCCACATGGAAATGTATCATTGTGACTCACGTTTATGCAATCTGCTGTGAACTTTTTGTTGAAGCTACAAGTTTCTTCTTTTATGTTATGACTTGTTTGAGAGTGGTGTGTCCTCCTCTTTCTCAGGTGTATCAAGCCAAATGACAAGAAGGCGTCCCACATCTTTACTGAATCTCTGGTCCGCCATCAGGTGCGCTACCTGGGCCTGATGGAGAACGTCCGCGTGAGGAGAGCGGGCTATGCCTTCCGCCAAGCTTACGAGCCCTGCCTCGAGCGCTACAAAATGCTTTGCAAAAAGACCTGGCCACACTGGAGGGGACCCGCTAGGTAATTGGTGCGCTTATCCCGAGACTGGGACACGAGAGGGCAGCTCATAGGAGAGGGGCGGGAGCACGAAAGGTCCTGCCACTGGAAGCTTTCCCAAAACAAATCCCCCCAACGGGGGGCAGAAAAAAAGAGCACAGAGTTTAGAAATGCTCCAAGGTGTATTTAACTAAGGCACTTAAATTCAGTCTACTCCCAGTAGAGACCAGCACTAATAGTCTGTAGCTGCAGCGGGGAGCTCCCAGGTGTGACTGGAGCTGTGAATGTGACGCAGTGATAATGTGGGGAAAGGGCTCATTTGGCTTAGCCAAGATAAACAAAGCCTATAGGGTGAAATTATAATAATAATTAACCTACAGATAAGATTTGTCTTTAAAGTGACTAATTGGTGTAGGTGGAAAAAAATGAAAATGCCTTTTTTTTTGTCTTTTTTTTTTGGGGGGCTGTGCTTTAGGGGAGAAAAAAAAACAAAAGACACACACCTGCAGCATACAGAATAACAGTTTAGGATTGTTAACGCACGAAAATCCTCTTATTGTCCTCTCAGAATCTAGCAGCAGCCGTGTCACATACCAGCTGTTCATTGTTCATCAAGAATGAATCATTGCCTCTCTGAACCACAGCATGTCGAGACGTTTCAGTCTTATCTGTCTCCTCCGTTCCATATCAGCCAGACTCCCTTGTTCCATCCAGTGTGCTGGTAAAATCATTGATGACTATCTGCTTTGCCTCTCATTGGTATCTTGTCTCTCTGCCATCTCTGAGCCTTTTGTAAGGTTTAATCTTTGTTTCCCCTACATGTTTCTTCAGGCTTGTTTTGATCACTCTTTGCCTCTTTCCCAAGGCCCTCGTCCTCAGACCTGTTTTTTTTTTTTTCTATGATGCTTTCTTATGTTGAAGGCCTCTTACAGCCTCTGTTGCTTTGGTTCGTATGGCCACCCCCTTGTGCCAAGTGTGCTTATGATAAACCCTTTGATTCCACTCTCTTCCATTAGGGAAGGAGTGGAGGTGCTGGTGGCTGACCTCCAGGTTCCAGCCGAGGAGTACTCTTACGGGCGTTCCAAGATCTTCATCAGGAACCCAAGAACGGTACAGAACATCCATTTTTAAACAGACAAAGCGGCCCCTTATCCCTTAATCTTGTGGTTTTTCCCAGCAAGTTTTGACATCTGCTTGGTATTCCGGTAGAACAAACTATGTTTCAGTCTAAAGGTTGAGTCCATTGTGCTCGGCCACCTCATTTTCTCACAGTAAGATGTTTGTAGAGCAGGGTGGGCTGAACTGCAAGCGCCCCCCCCCCCCACCCATTACTGCAATTAGCATGCAAACCACCACTCCAAAAACACATGGTTTCAATTAGTTATCCCATATAACATGGGAAATTAGTTACTCCTTGCTTGCAGACTCTTCAACCGTTTGAGCCCGCAGCATCTGTACGCACCCTCTCCCCCACCAGACCAAACAGAGGTTGAAAAAACATGATCTCATGCTGAGAGAATTTATTTTTTTTTTCTAAAATGACTCGCTCCGTCTGATCAGCTTATCTCCTTCACATATCTGTGGCTGCAAAATGGCATACGCTGGGTAAAGTAAAGAAGCTTTTTTTTCTGTTTAAAAAAAAAAAACTGGTTTCCAAATGTTTCTATAAGTTGGCAAATGGTGTGAACACACCTCACTTAATGGTGCCTAAAAACAAACGAGTGAGATTTTATCCAGACTGTGGAGTTAATGCTGGGTTTGGGTTTCACAATACAACTAATATTATTAGCTATGATGAATACTAAAAGAATAATTAAGTTGTGACATCTTGTTTATAATGCCCTTATGACTATACCAAGTAAAAATAATCATTATTGCATTTCTTTTCATGGATTTTTTTTTGTAAAGTTGTGTTTTCCAGTGTGACAAAGATTTTTAAAAAATCTTAGCCAACAGATGGAAAAATGACAGCAGTTACCAGCTGCTCTAACCCAATCTAGTCTCCAAAGATCTGTCATATCAGTCTCAATCATTCTTCTTTTTTGGCTATAAGCCTGAATATTAAATGTATATTTTTTATAGTGTATAGATAGGTGTTTAGTTTGCTTCTGCTCAGATTGCAAGTATTATATATTTATTCAAAATCCAGAGAAGATAATTATTTTTGTCAACAAATGAAGTTGTGTAAAGCTTCCCGTCTCATGCGTTCTTTTCTTCGTGCAGCTCTTCTTCCTGGAGGAGAGGAGGAGGCAGTGCCTGCAAGACCTGGCCACACTCATCCAGAAGATCTACCGAGGCTGGAAGTGCCGCAGCCGCTTCCTGCTGCTGAAACAGAGCCAGATAGTGGTGGCGGCGTGGTACCGCCGATATGCTGTGAGACGCCTCTGCCGACCGCCCGCCAAACTTACCGACCGCGTAAAGCCACCCTTCTTTTCTCTAGTTTTCACCAAAACTCCCGTTTTGTATTCCCTCTCGTACGACAGCAAGAAAAGAAGTACCAGCAGATCAAGAAGGCCACGACCGTGGTGCAGTCCTACACCAGAGGGTGGCAGGTGTGGTGTCTGTTGATTGCTTTTTTTTTTAAAAATTTAATATGCAGGAAATTTTGACAGAACACATGAACACGTTTGCTGGTTTCCTCCAGGCGCGCAAACTTCTGAGAGAGCTGAAATATCAGAAGAGATGTGAGGAGGCGGTGACCACCATCACAGCCTACTGGCACGGAACACAGGTACGGGGACGGATGTCTGAGGAAGCGTCAGCCTGGCCTTTTTTTATCAATAATGAGGAAAATGTCCTCCACTACTTGACAGTTTGGCTGTAAACACTTCCTTTTTTTTCCAACTGTTCAGCATTCCTGCCTTAATGGCAGATTCCACTCTGAAAGCTAACTTTGATGGGGTTGTTTTTTTTTTTGTTTTTTTTTGCTGTCCCTCTAAAATCTTGCTTCTCTTGGTAATCGCACAACACTTATCTTTTGTTTTCCCCTACTCCTCCTTTTCAACATTCCCTCATCAATTTGCCCCCCCCCCCCTTCGCACATCTTCAAAACCTGTCTTGCCTAACGCCCACCGCGTCCCGCCAGGCTCGGATGGAGCTGAGACGTCTAAAACAAGAAGTGCGGAATAAACATGCCGTGACAGTTATTTGGGCATACTGGCAGGGAACCAAGGTATTTCCACCCAGCCGCGGTGTGTCGTTGTCCCAGCTGTCTTTGTCATCTTTTCGTTTCGCCACGTTCCATCCCGTCGTTTGGTGTGAAGCGGCGTAATAGCGTAGCCCTGCCGCTGAGTGAACCTGGGTTGGGTCATCGGCCCGATATGTCTGTTGTTTTTTGGGCCGTTTCCTGACAGTGTCATTCCGGTTCCCGAAACTAACATGTTTGTTGTTGTTGTTGTTGTGGTGTTCATTTTATTGAGCTTCACTCGGGGTCTCAATTGTTGTAATTGTTGTGTCCTGGCTGATGTTATATATTTCCACTCCCACTCCCCTGCAGATTTTAGTGATGTGTTGCCAGTCACATGGATGTACTTCTGTGTCGTCCAAAAAATGTAAACACGGGATTAGTCATTCATAGATTGTAAAGAAAAAACTAACGGTCGATACCAGATATTGAAACAAAATAATACAAACATTTGAAGGACGCACACCTTCACTTTTTGTTAACTCTATAAAAAGTTTTTTTTGACAGGGACCCTTTTCAGTGGGAAGAGCTATCCAAATATGATGGCTGATTTTTTTTTTAATTAATTTTTTTATTTTTTATTTTTTCCTGCACCTGGATCCATTGTTTCCACAGCCTGGGCATTTGTGAACTGACATGATGATGAAATAAGGGTGCTGGCTTGACTCCCCTGAAGCCTTTAAAAATCATTGAGCATTAAATGTCCTCTATAAATGGAATTTGCTCACACCCACATTCACAATGTAGAATCATTTTAAACTCTCCCTAACCTTAGGTCCTACAAGATTCTCTGGGATGCTCCTTTATTTTTAAATCCAATCCACTGTATATGGAATTGGATTCAAGATGGAAATTCCTATTCATCATTTCCTCAAACAGTTTCCATAATGAGCTTCTGTTTTTTAAAATATAAAGGGTAAACTATTTTTAAACCACAACAAACACGTTTTGGGACATTTTAGACTGCTGACATAGGATAGCATTTTGCTGACAGGTCTTCACTAAATTCGACTTAACTTATCATTTGAGATATACGTTGTTGATGATCAACTTTGTCTTCACCAAAAACACTCGTTTTAGGCCACACTATGAACTTTGCTCTTGGCAAACATGAAGCCGTGTCATCGAACAGCAGTTTTATGACGCTGAAAATAGCATTTTCTGTAATGTTGACCCTCCCCTGTCTGGACTGTTTTCCTTTAACATGACCATAAACGGGGTTATGAACTCCCTGTTTATTATCCCCTCTCTTTCTGTCATTTCACGTTATAAGTCAGTGTTTTTTTTGTGTTTTTTTGTGTTTTTGTTGTTTTTTTGTGATGCCTTGTCACACCAACCTCAGACAATAAAGTTTTGACTGTCAGTGAAATAATCCTCACCCACAACCCCTCCACCACTTCTCATTAGGCTCGGAGAGAGCTGCGTCAGCTGAAGGAGGAGGCGAGGAATAAACATGCCGTGTCGGTCATTTGGGCCGGCTGGCAGGGCACCAAGGTATTTGGGAAGCCTGTTGACTTGACTTGCAGTGATTCTCTGACTTGCCGCCTCCACCATAGAAAATCCCCCCCCCCCCCCCCGCCCTTCCGACTCCCCATTCCACAGAAATACCTTGACATGTCCATCAGTTTTGCTCGAGCCCTTCCCAACGTTTGTCGAATGATGTACGGCACTGTACCATCCCTTCGAGCTGTTCATCCAAGCCTCTTTGTAGCTCTGATAGACATGCAGTGCATCAGGGAGAGACGTGTTGCATCTGGTTTGGTTTCAGCTTCTTCCTCTGAGGTCCCTGGCTGTCTCCTGCATGCTGCCTGCTCCTTCTGCATGGTTTCTTCTTCTTGTGCAGCCGCTGCATGATTTTGATCTTCCTCATGCTGCCTTCCATTGAGAGTTTTGCTTGCAGTGCTTGATTTTTTTCCCCCTTAAAACACACACTATGTCTCTTACAGAAACGTCCCTGATAAATATCCATCTGACAGTTTTCAGGAGCAGTAGAGAAGAACTTTTTCAGTGGCCACACAGGGCTCGGTCTGCTTCTGTGTGTGTGTGTGTGTGTGTTTGATGTTGCGAACCTCGGGCAGCCAAGTGTTTGCCTCCTCTTCCTCTCGCCTGCCGCCGCATCATTAGTTTCCACTCTTTTCTTCCCGCCCGACCCCTTAACAGGCTCGCAGGGAGCTCAGGAGACTGAAGGAAGAGGCCCGGCGTAAGCATGCTGTCGCTGTGATTTGGGCCTACTGGCAGGGACTGAAGGTACCTACCAGCCCCACAGCACAGCCACCATCACAAAGCGTGCCGCCTACTCCACACCTTTGACCATCTCTCGTCCTTCTCAACCAATCCCCACTGTTGTCTAAAGGAGGGGCAGCCTCTGCCCAGTGTTGCAGCCACAGACGAAACTGATTTGGTTACTTTTTTAGGTGATCAAAATGCCTCAAATAATCCTCTATTAGCCCACAACGGTTTTTAATGCTAAAGGTCCTCATTCACTTTCGCTTTTGTTGTAAAAACAAAAGTGTGGCTGAAATGGCAGAGGCTGTCTGGCACTCCATCTGTACCTAACATCTTACTCTGCTTCTTCTGTTTGTCTGTTTCTAACCCATAAAACTGCCCTGTACGTTTAACCAACTGTTATTGGTTCTGCTTTTTTTTCCTTTTTGTCTTCAGGTGTATGTCCTGGTTTTGTCGATTGTCTGTTCCATCATGTATAAAATCAGTGTCATACATTTCAAAGTTAATCCTAATAATTGACCATGTGCCTCACAGTGCACCCGTTTACAACTCAGTTTGGACCATGATGGGGATCATGAGGGCTGTTCATCATAACCTTCATCACCTTTTCAGTAATTAATTTGAAGCGGTCTGAATTCAGATTAATTCCATCAGAATGGAGTTCCCTGTCTGTCCCAGTGACTAACCAAATGTCTTGTTTGTTTTGTTTGTTTTTACATGTTCTGTTTCCGTTGCTTCCATCCCTTTTTTTTCAGTGTGCTCATCTTTCCCACTTCATATCAAACTGAGGGGTGTCCAAACGTGATATGCGTCTCATTTGTTATGCTTGTGCATCAACAGGTTCGCCGAGAGTACAGAAAATTCTTCAGGGCCAACGCGGGCAAGAAGATATATGACTTCACCATCCAGAGAATTGTAAGAAGAGCTTGAATGTTTGAACTTTGCAGATGCATAGGCCGGCATTGTTTCGGAATAAGTCAGATTTTTCTTTGAGGTCTTCCACTTCGCCTGGTGATGTCATCGATCACAGTATTGGCATTTAAGGGTTATTTAACATACTTTGACCAAAGTAAAAAAAAAAAAAGAAAAGGATACAAATTGATTTCTTTGTGAACGTGTTTTCAGATGCAGAAATATTTCCTCGGTCTGAAGAGCAACATGCCCTCCATGTCACCAATTGACAAGAGCTGGCCAACCAGGCCTTACACCTTCTTGGAGGGAGTCCACAGTGAGCTCCGAAGGATCTTTCACCTCTGGAGGGTTTGTCAGCTACATGCTATCATTTGCCTCATTTTCTTGTAGAAGTGTATTAGAATGCATTCACTATGGGCATGTGTCAGATCCCATCAGTTTATGTTAGACGCTTGGAGAACATACTTCAGAATGCAAAAAGAAAAAAAAAAAGATCTGACTATTCGTTTTTTTTTTAAACACATGGCAAATCACAGTGTTATGTGTTAATCAGAAAGAAGTCCAAATTTGGAAGGAATGTATAAAAATGAAAGAAAAGTATGCTGTTGCAACCACACTTAACGTAACCATTCTACTATGGATTTTCTGTTCTGTGGCTTTATCAAACCTTTCCCAGTCAGACGGGTGTTCTGACATTTATCTCCAGAACATTTTAGCATACAGAGGAGTTTATAGTCTGTCCAGTGACCGGCTCAATAAAGAAACCTTCACAGCTTAATCAGCAGCACCATTTGCTTTTCTAAGATCGTTTCTTACTTGTGTCAAACACTGAAAGGGCAAAATGGTCAAACCCGATCGGTCCACAGATTAGCAGCACCTGGCGGCCACTTACCCACTTGAGGTCTTTAGGAATGTAATTATACTTTTTTCCCCAAACACTGCCTGTACGTTTGATCTTATTTTTGGTAAATAGAATTTGGCTGCCGAATCAGTCTTTAAAACCGGGTAAAAGGCGGTAGGGCCTCATTTTGACTTTTTTTTTTTTTGTTCAGTGCAAGAAATACAGGAGCCAATTCTCAGAGGAGAAGAAGATGATCTATCAAGAGAAGCTGGAGGCGAGTGAGCTCTTCAAGGATAAAAAGGCTCTCTACCCAAGCAGGTAGCTAAAGTTCAGCATCTACATTTTGCGATGATCTGATTTCATGTTGGATGTAGAGCTTCAAATGTCTCATGTGATCTTTGTCTTTTTGTCCCAGCGTAAGTCAGCCTTTTAAAGGCGACTACTTGGAGATCAGCAAAAATCCTAAATATCAGAAGCTCAGCAGTGCCGTGGAGGACAAGATTCTGCTGTCTGATGTGGTCAACAAGATTAACAGGGCTAATGGAAAGGTAAGGGAGCTCGGGCCCTGGTTGCAATGAGGCGTTTCTGCACAGAGATAATCATATCGCTAATCTCTCAGGTGTTTTGTTCCAGCAGAATTAGTGTGGTAGGTGTGTTTAGGTTTTAATCCCAATACTTCTCTAACCCAAAAATTAATTTTAAACGGACACATTAGTCTCTGTCTTTCTAATTTTTTTCCACATTTCACACACTGAATTGACACGGATAATTTTTTTACTTGCAGTCCTCAGCCCGGATCTTCCTGCTAACTAAGAAGAATGTCATCCTGGCTGACCAGAAAACTGGCCAGCTGAAGGCCAGCGTCCCACTGCCAGACCTTGCCAGTGTGTCGGTCAGCACGCAAAGCGATGGCTTCTTTGCCCTCAGACTCAAAGAGGTGGGAGGGCGATCGTTTGAATGCACATTCTTGACAGTTTTGCTTCAGTTTCTCTTTGTATTTTGTGCTGTTTCCAATCAGGAATTTGATTGTAATGGATCTCACTTGAGTAAAGTGATAAATAACACTTATTAGGTCTGCTGAGATGATGGATTTAGTCTAAGCACGTGGAGTCGTGTTTATTTTTGCTTCAGGGGTCAACATCTGCCATCAAAGGCGACTTCTTGCTCAGCAGCGAGCACCTGATTGAAATAATCACCAAGCTGCACCGCATCGGGGCCACGGCTGCAGACAGGGAGCAGCTCTACATCGACATCTCAGACGAGTAGGAGCGCCGACGCGTTAATATTTACATCGCAACACTATGTCCGTCTCTCTGGGCGAAGGTTTATGAAGCTGCCCGTGTCTCCTCTCTACTCGCACAGGTTTCTGGTGCAGTTCAAGCAGGACAAGGTCTGCGTGAAATTCATCCAGGGGGGTCCAAAGAACGGCAACGGCGTGTCCTGCAAGCGCAAAAACAATCGCCTCCTGGAGGTGTCGGTACCCACAACACCATAGTCCTCTCCGCTCCTGTTATTGATCACCACTGCTCGTTCTGGTGGGAAGCGGCCTGACACCAGACGCCAAAACTCTGGATCGGAAAAATCTCCACGCCAGGACCCACCCTGAGTCCACACACGTGCTGTTATTCGACCCCGTTGTGTTGATCTCCTCAAGTCTTTTATCAGTTACTGCAACACAGCTATAGTTCAAACCATGTGCCACTTTCTTTAGGCAGAGAAAGCCCCTAGGCGGGTTGCATGCCACAGAGATTCGGTGCAAAGAGTTGATTTGACTTTTGCATACCAGTGGTGAGATTGCTAATGATTGTTCTGACTGTATAGTAAATAAGCTTTCAGAGAAAATGTAAAGTTTTTTTTTTTTTTTTTTTCTTTTTGACAAGCTCCAGCATCAGCTAGTCTAGACTCATCTGCTCTTAAGCAGCTCTGACTTCACTAAGAAGGCTTAAAATTTGAGATGAACCATGACACAAGATTTGGGCTTCGAGCCTGTCAGATTTTTCTTCTCTGGAAACCTTTAATACTGCACTTGATTTCACCTTTGCGTATGACCTGAAAAATAAAATTGATTGTATGTTATATTATTGGTGGAAGCGGAGGGCAGATGGGAGACGTGAAATGTTTTTTAGAAAATTGTGGAACATTTGTATCCGTTATGTGCCAATGAACGGGTCTCAAGACTTGTCATGTGTTGGTGCACAAATACAAACCATGATGTCAACAAAAAAAAAAGATCAGTAATGACAATGATGCCAAAAAAATTCAAAACCTGTGAATAGGGACTCTTAAGCTTTTGGCCACTGTTTGTATTTTTTGGATTGCACTGAACATGTGATAAATTCCATTTCCTCTTCATAGTACTGATTGTAATAAATGCCAAGCATTACTCCACCTGCAGAGTAATTTTTAACCTGAATTCACAGACTTTCATGTTTGCATTACAGAAGAAAATATACTGACAAAGGCATTAGACCAAACACAGGAAACCAAGTTACCCACAATATTTTATTGGAGTCAAAATTTCCTCGGACCACAAATCAAACCCTTTGAAAATGATATTTTGTGTGCAATATTGTCTGTTGTTCTTTCTTGGAAGGCGGTGGTGAGGAACCAACAGCGTTTGCCCCTCCTGTGCCATACGCTGTACATAGGCTCTGTAAGCTGTAGTCATGACATGAACAATGGCTTGTTCAGCATCCTAGCTTTAATAGCTGCTTTTGTGAATTTGCTGTCTTTGTTTTTTTTTCCTTTTTGGGCACTGTGGCTTGAGTTGTTAGTGCTTGACCCACTCTGACCTAGTGTGTACTTTTCAGGGGGAAAAGACCAAATATTAAACTCTACATTCCGCATGTATCTGAAGAAATAGACCGTTTTTAACTTTTCCCATTTTCACTATTGTAAATATCTATTTACACACAAACCGAATTTGGGTTTAAAGGAGGGATGCTTTTTTTTCTCATGCATGTTCACTATAATCTGTATTCTGGTAGAGATTTTTGTACTTTTGGTCACTGAGGAGGAAACTCATAACCCAACTTGGTCCAAGGGATGTTTGCAGTCTGGGATATCTTGGTGTGTAAGCTGTTTTTTCTATTTTTTTTTCTCTAATGTATCACACAACACAGGGAAATCAATTGCTTATTCCTTGCATGGATGCAATGAGCGAGTTAGATGACAGTTTTTGGCATTTCTTCTTCTGTGGCTGCTCTCTCAGCACTCTCTCACTTGGGTAACATCTCCCTCCATATCCTACTTTCTTTCCTGTTTTGGAGCAAAAATAATGTCTGCATTCTTCTGTGCCTAATGTTAACCTGTGCTATGAGATGGAACATGGACATGTTTTAGTCAGGCTCATTGTAACATTTACAAGTATTCTTTTTTTTTTTTCTTTTTTTTTAAATTAAATAAAAATCATAATAAATGTTATCCTGGAATTTGTTTTCCATTGTTTTCTTTTTCTCTTTGCGCTCAGAAGAACATTCTCTGCCCTGGTACATATCCAGCAGAGAAAGCCATATACATCACACTCCTTAAATCTCAAATTCCCTGAACAGGCAATGATTGCTGTTTATCAGCATCAACAGGGGGTTTGGTTAGAAGTCTTCTGGGGGTTAGTAGCTTTAGGGGCTGGACGGCCAGGCTTTGCATTCAAGCAGCTGGCCAGATGTTTTCCATCACATCTGGGGAGAGCTGTCCTAGGGTTAAATTCCGCGGCTTTGGGAGAGCTGCCGGCAACAGGTCTCAAGGGAGCAGCCCTCTGATTGAGCACAGCGGTAAAAAATAGCATACCATTTTGGGCTGCCCGGTACCCGGTTCCCACCACTCTGCAGGCTGGGAAAGGGAGGCGGAGCCCCGGCCTCCCTGTAGATATTATTCAACTTGCTGTGGGACTGTGTAGGACAATACAGAGTCTCATCTGATGTAAAGGCCTGCAGTTTGTAACTACTTATGCAGAGCTGTATGAAATCTGTCAAATAGGCTGGTACTGAGAGATGAATTTCTTTTTGTGGAACATGTATTGCTAATCCTAGTATATTGCTTAGGATCTCATTGTGGATTTAACAAAAACAGTATTTCGTGGCTTTTAGTTAGGTTTCTTTAAATCCATCAAAACAGTTTTTAAGGGGTTTGCAAAAGACTGAACTGACCATTTACAGTTTATCAATGAAAGATAGAAACACATTAACATGCAAGGGTTGAATGTACCTCAAGGATTGGCAGGTCTCTGGTGACATCTTATGGATGCTAGATGTAATTGCAGATGCTTATGGCTTTTGGAATCGTCTGCTTTTGTTTTACAGACACATGGAGCCTTTAACATTTTTATCCAGCACTAGAAAGCAACAGTCTCTTGTTTTATTGCTTAACCCGGCAGTTTCTTACAATAAAGTCCTGACATGAGATTTACATGGCTAATTAAATTGAATAGCCAATAGTAAACATCTTGAATGTATGCAACCCTTCAACCCAGTATGTTTAACAGAATAAGGTAAAACCATGCAAAGATGCATTTCGAATTTGTAGTTTTGGGTAAAGCTGTAAAATAATTGAAATGGCAATAAAAACACACAAAGTAGGGTTAAGTCACCAAAGAAAAAAAGCCATTTTAAAACAAGTTATGCATAAAAACTAACATGAAAACTGTAAGGTTTTTCAAAAGTTTTAAAAGCAGTTCTGACCATGCAGGAGGAGAAAACTTTAAATAACTTTATTTGGGATTCTATGAGAGCATTCCAGCGTGTGTTTTCTTGGTCATTGGAGCTGAGAAAAGTTCCTTATTGAAGGTATGGTTATGTATACAATTATCACATGTTTTTAAGAGTGTCTACAAGAGTAGGAAATGGTACCAAATCTGACAAAAATGTTAGATTTGCAAAAATGTGCTGCAGCATCTGATTTATTTATACATTCCTCTGTTGGCAGCGTTTTTATGTCCTTGTTTCCAACACTCTTGTAAAATCCTCCCTACTGAGCAAGTCGTTGGACAGCATCATCTTACTGCACAGTGGCAGCTCATTCCTGGCTGCCATGGCCTGAGGACAAAATTGTCAGAGAAATAGTTTGTGCTTTGATGCTAAGATAGAGCTCACCTAATGGTGGTGGTTGTAGAGATAAATGGGCGCCTGGGGGAACACTTGATACAGATAATACTGGCCTGTGTTCGTTTCAGGTCCTTGTGTGGAGCTGATCCTGAAAGCATGGCTGATGGCCTATTAAATGGTGATGGGAGAGTGGGCGCTCTTATAGTTCCAGATGTTGGTAGTCATTGCTTGTTGCCCATGTTACTTTTTTCAAAAAATGCATCTTTTTTTTGTACCTATAAACCTGCAATGTAATATTCTGTTAAATCTAGGTAGGCGTCCATGATAGCATGAGCATTTAAAGTGGGTGTAGTTGTGTTGCAGTGCATTCCAGGTCATAAAGGAGACAAATGCAAACTTGACCAGCTTTGAAACTTTTTTTGATGGAGATGTTGTCATCTTTTACTTCACAAAATGTCTGCTCATTCTTTATTTTTTCTTAACTCGAGATTTGGCGCTTACCTGTGTCTCGAACCTCCAAGGCTGTGCTCAAAGGACATTTGAGCACATTTTAATAGCAGATGGTGTTACTGCATGGTTTGTAGAAAAAAAAAATCAATATTAAAGTAAACAACTGCTAGAGTGGCATTACTTTAGATTTAAAGTAATAGTCTTATGGCCTCCATCTGGGTAACATCTGCTCTCATACTGTATGTGTAGATAAGACAGAGCAAGGACTTCACAGAGGGCTTCCAGTGTGGAGACAGAGTTAATGGGAGATGAGCTACTGTGGCAGAAAATAGCTTATTCTGTGCCATCTAAATGAACACATCCCTAAAACATTAATAATAATTGTATTCACAGCTATTACTGTGGATCTTATCATTTAACTTTTACATTGTCATCCAGTGGCAACACAGATAGTGTTACACTGATCCAGTCCCTCTAACTGTCTGTTTGAGGTGTATTAAAATCAACATCAAAGCATTAGATTTAGTTTTTTAGGTTTAAAAATTGGAAAGTAATTGTGAAATAGCGTGGAAACCAATTAAATTAGGGTTGAATCTATAAATTGTGTGAATAAATTACCTAGAAAAAATGTTTCAAGAGTTTAAAATCAGAAGTTCTGTAATGGCCATGCTGGTGGAGAAACCTTTAAACAACCAGATTATTTGGGATTCTATGTAAAACTAGGTATCTAAAAGCTGTCTCATAAATGGAGTCAGGCAAAGGGTACACTACTTCTGAATGTTATAAAGAGAAAATTGAAAGGAGAAAATACAGGAGAAGCAGCATGTGCATGACATTCCATCCCTAAATATCCCAGTTCAAACATTATTAAGTATTCTAAATTGAATTGAATTGAATTGAAATAAATTAAGTATTCTAACCCCATTTTGCCGTAAATACATCTTGCAATTAAACTTTCTAAAAGCTGGAGAGAGTTCATTAAAGTTTAACAGCAAATTAACGATATAACCCCAGCAGCTGTACACTGAAGTCTGCATGGGGTTAATTACTCTAATTGGCCTTAATTGGCGGCACTTGTGAAGGCATGCATGCTGCATCCTCAAATAGAGTGAGCTTGAGTTTTAACATCATTCCCAGCTTAATAAACCCCGTTTTCTTGTAAATTTATGTGTTCAGTCTGCATTTTAAAATAACTAACAAGATAGCACACCATTAGTGCCACCTCTAATTTCAAATGCAAAGCAGACCCCATTGAAATATGTAAAATAAAGTATTACCTGAAGAGATGCTAAAACAATATATGTGATTACATAAAAAAACTGTTGCTTAATAAGGTCTGATGGGGTCCTTTCAAACCTGCCTGTTGTATCTGAAATGATACGAAAGGCAACTAATTTACCCAAATCCGTACAGGAAAGGCCAAAACTGGGATTGAGACCAGATTACATTTTACAGCGACGGTAATAGTCTTTTGAATAAAAAAAAATATATATATGTATGTCATGGTCACACATTGACAGCTACATCTCACGTGTACAACAGCAGAAAATCTGCATTCAGGGATTAGAAGTGATGGGAAATAACTTCCAAAGCAGATAGTAAGTAGGAGGGTCAAGACTGAGTCCCATTTGTACTACTGGTCCTTCGAGAAATGTAAGGGTTAGTCAAAAAACAAACAGACATAATGGTACATTAGATTTTTATGTTCCTTGACCAGGTTTTCATGTTGTTCTGCTTTACCTAAAGTATTGGGTTGCTAGTAGTATTTTCTACCTCTCAATGACATGATGCAGACGCAGCTCAAAATATTTACAGCGTTATTTATTAGTGTTTCCATTTGTATTTCTGTAGATCAATATAAAGATTAGTCAGATCTGTAATTTACTGTGACTGAAAGTCGGCAAGTTCAAAGTTCAGCATAAACTAATGAGTCTAAAGTCAACAAGCGGCGCCCCTCCTACCTTTCTCCTTCTGCCAACCTTTCTTTTTATTGCCATTAATTTAACGGTGCATATTACTGGAGATGAAACCTGTTTTAGTAACCCCTTGTCTGCAGTAGTAGACCATGAAATATTGCCATATTGTACCTCTGTTGGAATCTAATTAGATTATTGTCAGTTAGAAATACAATTCTAGAGCTGAGGAACATGATATTTTTTAGCCATTTGAATGCTTTGACTGGATTATTACATTTACACATTTTTTTCCTTTCTGATCAGTTTGCAGTCATTTCATTTTTTTTAATACACTGGCCCATTTCCCACTAAC